AAGTGGTCAAAAATTGCAGGTTTATTAAGCTGAAAAAATAACTTCTAAAGGCAAAACACTCTAATTTTGTAAATGAGAAGCATCATTCCCAGAAAGATAAAGTGAGTGTCTCAAGGTTATTTACATAGAAATGCATGGTAGATCTGGTATTAGAATCTACAGCTTTTGTATTTAAAAGGTAAGAAAACCAATTATTTATTGTCTCTCTTGGGATTTCAAATTTACCATTACTTATTTTTACTACTATTAAATTATCTAAAAGAACATGAATTTACTATTATACTCTGTGTCAGGAATAGAAAACATAAAGGAGGAAAGAATAAATTATTTCTTTAAAAGGCACAAAAAATAAATTATTGCTTTCTTGTGTGTGGAATATATATATAAACATATATATTAGTATATTGTTCTAGTTACCTAGTACTGCTCTGACAGGAATATACCACAAATGGGGTGGCTTGAACAAACAGGAATTTATTCTCTTACAGTTTGGGAGGCTAAATCCAAGTGCCAGGCTCTAGGGTCATGGTGAAAGACCCTTGCCCTTGGGCTTCAGCTCTGCCTCTTGCTGCTGGCCCACTGAAGCTAGAGGCATCTCTTCACTCAGCCAGCTACTGGCTGATGAGACTATCAAGCCCAAAGTTGACAAATAAAATGGCACAGTCCCGATGTTACCAAACCACATGTCAGGCCATTAAATCAAGTCCATTGAAAGTCCCAATGTCGGCAGAGCAAGGCAGGCTGCTGAACAGCGACTCGGCTACAGGCAGGGTTCAAGGTGCCATAAGCTATAGCCCATTCCCAAAGCTTCTCCTTATATACAGGAAGCAGACCACACCCCAAAGGCAGCTACTCAGCTGCTTGTGGTAGATCTCACCATGGAGTTGATTGCCAGTCTCATCATGGGCAATAACTACCACCAGCTGCCCAGCCAACTCAACCAGGCCCAGTCAAATTAACATACAAATTTAACTACCACATATATATAAATGTAATATATTATGTATTTTTCTCATTTTTTTAGCCTCTTTTAATTTTAATTACTTTAGGTCATGCCTTCTATTTTCTGTAGGTCCAGAATGTATTATATGGCACACTGCTCTTTATGGAACTATTTATTCAAGAAACAATAGTGAAAAAGATAGAAAAATGTTAATAAGTCAGAGATATTTTACAGTGCTTACTCTATGCTATACCCTGAACCCCATACAAGGCATTGTGTGCTAATTTATTTAATCCTTTCAATAGTGCAACCAACAGTTCTCAAGGAAAGCCAGCGGACTTGAGAAAGCAGACTGAGATACTAAATCCCTGGGACTGTGAAATCTGTATGTCTTTCCATTTTTCTTCGTAGTTGAAAATAGGGGTTTATAAACCCTACTGCTTGGGATTGAATTCTCAATACTTGACAAGTTAGTTAAATCTTGATTTCTACTCATAGTAACGCTATACTGAGAATCAAAGTTAAATCCTCTAACTTTTGATTTCTTTATTTATAATGAGGATGAAATGATAGTATTTAATTTCTACTTTCTTTCTTTTTTGTAATGAGAATTACATATGATTAATATGCAATAGTAACAATACATAATAATAAATATTAGTGTGTTTAAGTAAGCTGTTTTAATCCATAACAAATTTAGCATAATTCATGAAATTTAACTAATTCTACCATGGCTTTTCTTTAGAGGATAAATTTTGCTAAATCAGTATAATTATCCTTTCATACAACAAAAACTCTTCAGTAAAAAATCTTGTAGACAAGATTTAAGTATGTAATAATCTTACTTAAACCAAAGTCAAACTCACTGCCATTGAGTCGAGGCCAACTCATAGCAACCCCTCCTTGGGTTTCCAAGGAAGTATCACTTCGGAAGTAGATTGCCCAACTTTCTTTCCAAGGAGTGGCTGGTGGGTTTCAACTGCCAGCCTTCTTGTTAGCAGTCAAATGCCTTAGGCACCATGCTACCAGAGCTCCAGTGTATTGTCCCTGAGAATCTTCACTATTCCTGTTATGGATGTAAACCTTTTCTAAAATTATAATAGACCACAGAATAACATAATGGCCAGTCAGTTGAGAATTTACCAAATTATAGTCTTTCAGTTTCTATTTAAGGAAACTGAACCCAAAGTTTAACATTATGTTATTTAGATCTACAAATCATTTGTTTTTCAACAATGTCTTTCCCTCTAATCTTTATAATATGCATGTATTCACCAACTAAAGTTGAATCATCAAATATTTTAAATCTGATTAGCCTGAAAAAATGATTCATTCTCCTAGAATCAATGTCATAAAATTCAGCATGAGACCTCTTACTTCAGAATTTTAAGATACAGACCATTCTATTTTTCTTTACTGCAATATAGAAGCATTTTTCATAGAAATTGGAATCTGTTTCTGTATGGCTTTATGGAAGGCAATACACCCATGGCTTAAAATGGTGATGACTGAAGCAATATTAACTCTTTCAGTCTTTACAACTTGGTAACACAGATTAGACCATACTTTATTATATCTAAGGTACCATCACATCTGTGGTTTACCATAAGTCACTGAAAGAAAAAAAAAAAAAAAGCTTCCAATTAAAATGACTATCATTAATTTTAACATATTATCTGATTTCAGATATGTTAGAATATCAACAAATGTTGGTTTTAGAATCAATGATATAGGAGTTAAAATTCTTGTGTACAGAACAGTAACATAAATGTCAGACATGGATCGGACTTCAGACACTCAGACTTCAGAGCCCACACTCCTAGCCAAAGAGAAGAAGAGAAAGGAAGGTTGGCGTGACCAGAAGTGGGAAGTGGAAAAGTATTCCAAAAACTTTATAGCAAAGGATAATCAAAGTTGCCAAAAGAACCTCACATCCTGATTTTCTTCCACTACCTACTCAAAAATGTACAAATTAATTACCATCATTTTCAACTTTGGGAAGTAAGTGATTTTTGTTTTGTAGATTTGCCGTTATGTTTTCTCCTGAGCAAAAGCAGTGAAACTATTCATTACATATCACATCTGTTGGTAGCTTTGGGGAGGCTTTTCAGAATGAATTATCGAAACCTTCCTTACTCTGGGGGAATCGGGGAGGGTTGTTGTTGACGTCCGTCAGGGTGATGTTCACTGTGGTGGTTCCAGAAAGGCCCCCCATCTGGCCGCCCATGTCTTTGGCCTGTATAACCACCTGGTACTTCTCTCTCTTTTCTCTACTCATGTCTGGTAATGCAGTTTTTATTATACCTTTTGGAGAAAGAAGACAGATGCTTTGCTATTTATTTCCTGAATGTTTTTAAGCCATGCAAAATCCATTTTACAGAAGTAAATCATAATAAACAAATAAACATTAGTGCATTTAAGTAAATTGTTAAAGCCATAACAAATTTAGCATAATTCATGAAAATTAATTAATTCTTTTACAGGACAGATTTTGCTAAATCAGTATAATTATCATTTGATACAACAAAAAGTCTTCAGTCACAAATCTTGTAGACAAATAAACTGGCTTAATTTAGATGATTTAATACATTCAGTTTGGAATATTCCTTCTGCCATATAATATGATGAATAAAGCTCTGTGGGATTTGAAAATTTTGATGTAGTTTTTTTTTTTTAATTTAAACTGAATAAATAATAGGTTAAAGAGCTAACAAATTTAAATAATAAGTTTTACTAATTAGGAATTTTGTTCCTGTTTCTGTGGAATATCTTTAGGTTATAAATTAAAGATAATATTGAATGGGAAAATTTAAAAATACACAAAAATCTATAAGCTTCTTGTGTATCAATATGCATTACAGACCAAGTATAAAATGCACTCACCTGATTCTGGATCCACCGAAAAATACGGCTGTCCTTGCAATATGCTGTAGACTACTTTGGCACTATTTCCATAGTTGGCATCATCTGCATCTGTTGCAGTCACTTGTATTACTGATGTACCTACATGAAGCCCCACCCAAACACAAACAAATACGTCTCAATTTGAAACTATCTTGTGAAAAGTTAGTGTTGGTAACGTGATGTTTTAGAAAATGGCACATACCATTTAAGAAATGTATTTAAATGATCTCCTCTTAAAAAAATCATCTTTATCCATGTCCCCTCCTATTTCTTTGTTTGAACACATCTCTTATTTTAATGTTGTATTTAATTTGAAAAAAAAAAAAAATTATAAATTCAAGGAATGTTTTATCACAAAGATAAAATGGGCTGTACATTTTACATGTACATTAGTACATGGTACTAATGGGCTGCATTTTTAATCAGTTGGAAATATAATGTTTCACTGAATAAAATGAAAATGTAACTTTCAATTAATACATTTATTGCTTATTGGAGTGATATGCTAAAAATGCAATGTTTGTAATATTTCTGATGATTTTTTATTGGTATATATTAACTGTGTGCTATAAATAGCATAAGGAGGTCTGGTGGCTTAGTTGGTGAGACATTTGGCTAACCAGAAGGTTGAAACCCACTAGCTGGTCTGAGGAAGGAAGATGAAGCAGTCTACTTTTAAGATTTACACCCTTATCCAATGGAGACACTATAAATTGAATCAATTTGATAGCAATGGGTTTGGTTTGGTTTTAGTAAATAGAATGAATAGATAGAGAGGTCTGATTTTAGGAAGAAAGAAAGAAAACATCACATAAAATTGATTTCTGAAACATTTTATATACAAGAATATCTGTCCATTACATAGATACGCTTATGCCTATTGACGTGCTGTATATAATTAGCTCTCTGCTGTCATAAGTAAATCAGTAGACAGTGTAAAAAGGTAAGAAAGTATGATTCTGTGTTTCATGCAATACTGTAA